TGGCAACAATACCTCTCTGAAAATGCGACAGTATCTTTTTTTTATACCAAAAAACGTCTCCAAACTCGTCCAAAGGTATCCAACCAGCAGTCACCGACAACCAAAACCACCACTGATGAAACCAGCTCCTCCAGTCCACATTTTATGACCAAATACAACTTTATCAAAATGTGAAGTCCTTCATAGACAAGTCTGTCTAAATAGGCTATTAGCCATCTTTAAGGATTTGGGTTTCTTTAAGCAATACAGTGTTTTTATTCTTTAGCTCTCTCTTCCATATAAAACAACGTCTTTTGTTTTTCATCCATGATTAGCTCTGAATGTCTGTATATGGCGGTGTTATGCGTGACCAGTGTTTGTGGTTTCCAGCGTCTCCTCATAAAGCCAGCTCTCAGTGAAGTTTCCGGACTGCTCCATTAGCTCAAACAGACGCTTGAACTCATCAGGGTAAACATCGCCTGTCATTGTGTCGTCAAGGAAGCCCAGCTTTGAAATGAGCTCTGGTCCACTGCCGGGACTCCATGAGCTTTGGAAAACAGAAGACAAAAGGAAAGTATGACCTTATATAGGTTTAGAGCCTCCGAAATTCTAGTTTGTATCTAAATACAGGTCAGAGTTCATAAACTTACTTAATTTGTTCTATCAGTCTGCTTTTCCTTTTGGCAAGGCATTGTTTCACCATCAAAACCAGAGTGCTGCCGTTCAAGGGAGTCAGGTGAGAGTTAAACAAGTCCTCACGTGGAGTTATCCGCACCAAGCAAAGGTTATCACTCTGGGTTTGCTGTGGAGGAAAAAAAAAAGCGTGTAAATGAAAAACTTTGGAGTTTCTCAGCCCATTTTTTTGATAGCGAGCATAACCTGCAATTAAGTGAGTGAGTGATAAATCTGCACACAATTTAAGATATTTTTGATGAAATCTGAGGGCTCTCTGACCCTCCCATAGACAGCAAGGTAACTACCACATTCAAGGTCCAGAAAAGTACCAAGATGATTGACAAAGTAGTCCGTGTGACATCAGTGGTTCAACTGTAAAGTTACGAAGCTACGAGATACTTTTTTTGCACAAAGAAAACAAAAAAACGTTAATAACGTCTGTCATCACGCCGGATCTGGGTCAGTGCCGGCGCCACCACACGCTCGTGTCATGATACTGTTGTGAACGCGCGTCCACAAGTGACGCAGTAGAGACGAAAATGTGGAATAAAGTCATTATTTTTGTTTTCTTTGCGCAAAAAAAGTATTCTCGTAGCTTCGTAACTTTACAGTTGAACCACTGATGTCACACAGACTACTTTGTCGATCATCTTGGTACTTTTCTGGACCTTGAACGTGGTAGTTACCTTGCTGTCTATGGGAGGGTCAGAGAGCCTTCAGATTTCATCAAAAATATCTTAAATTGTGTTCCGAAGATGAAAGAAGGTCTTACGGGTTTGGAACAACATGAGGGTGAGTAATTAATGACAGAATTTTCATTTTTGGGTGAACTAACCCTTTAACAGATGCTGAATCTTAAAGTGATAGTACTTGTGCCAATACTTACAGTGTTCTTTGAGGAGGGCCTTCCAGACTTCTTGGTTACAGTTAGAAAGGATGACAATGGCTCCTGGTAATGAAGAAGCAGAAATTCACAAACACACCAATCATTAATTGATAATTATTCCCAGAAAAAGGTAACAATAATGCATAAATAATGATAAGAATGTCTCACCTCATGCAGTAACTCAATATCACAGGCCATCTGCCAGAGAACACTGAAAGCTTGGTAGTTCTTATAATCTCTTGGACGGGTCACTAGTTTCTGAAAGAGAAATAAATCATAATTCATACTTGGATCCAGCTTGAAAGCTCAAACCCCTGCTACTTATATAACTTAAACGTTCTCGTAGATTGGAGACATGCAAACTCACCGTGTATTCTTTCTGGCTAATGAACATGATCAACTCCACACGTCCGTAGCGGAAAATGGAGCGGCGCTCAAACAGGTTGTAAATCAGCTTCCACAGTATGTTCTTCTCATTTCTTTGTGTGAAGATCCCCACAATTTTGACTGGGACATCTGCTCAAGAAATGGAAAGAAATAAAAAAACATTTACACATTTATTCCTTGTTCCTTGACTGTTTACTCATTCTCTCATTATTTTCCTTCTTTCTGCCCTTTCACAATAATCTGAATGTTTAGGGCACTAACCTGCTGACCAAGGAACCTCAGAGATGGCAAGGTCAGAGAAGAGCTTCTCTGAGTACATGGCGGGAGGTTTCATGCTGCCGTGGCCGATAGGATCCAGTTTGAAGAAGTCACAATGAACCACATCCAGCTGCCCTTCCAGTTTGTGCTCCAGGTCCTTTTAAGATCAAAGGTTATTTTAGAGGTGTGTTGTTTTTTGATTAATATCTATCGCGGTTACATTGACATTGATGTTCTTCATAATAATCAAGTAAAGGTGAACAGTTGGGAGGAGATTGGATGCGTGTCAGTATATTGGATCAGTGCATTAGGTCTTAAAGGAATAGTTCACCCAAAAATAAAAATCTGCTGAAAATGTACTCTCCCTCAGGCCATCCAAGATGTAGAAGACGAGTTTGTTTATTCGTCAGAAAAAATCTGGATAAATTTAGCATTGTGTAATTTGTTCACCAATGGATCCTCTGCAGTGAATGGGTGCCGTCAGAATGAGAGTTCAAATAGCTTTTAAAAACAATGTCTTGCGAAATGAAAAGCTGCATGTTTGTAAGAAACAGATCCATCATTAAGATGTTTTTAAACCATTTCTTCTGGTCAAAATACCAGTTAATTATCCATAATAATGCTTCCTCTAGTAAACAACACTTAATCTGTGTCATGAGATGACTTTTTCACTGAAGAAAGCAGTATTACGGACAGTTGAATATTTTAAGTGGAAGCAACAGTTTGAAGTTAAAACTTCTTATTTAAACAAACATTAAGCTTTTTACTTCCTGAGATGTTAATTGATGGACTGGGGTCACGTCGATTATCGTGATGTTTTTATCAGCTGTTTGGACTCTCATTCTGACGGCACCCATTCACTGCAGAGGATCCATTGGTGAGCAAGTGATGGAATGCTAAATTTCTCCACATCTGTTCTGATAAAGAACAAACTCATCTACATCTTGGATGGCCTCAGGGTGAGTTCTGAATAACGGTTGTAGTTTTAATAACAATCCAAAATATATTTACTTAATTCAGTAGGGGAAATAGGGAACATAATAGGAAAATAAGTTAATTAACTTGCAAAATAGTCTAAAAATTAACATAAAAAAAAGAATTGTGATAAGACTGTGGATTGTCATCCTGCCTGAAAAATACTGTGCTTTGATATTTTTGCCATATTGCCCACCTCTAGGTTATTTATTAGGGAAATAAAAGCTGACAGTGAGCAGAATGAGATTAGATCATTTCGGATGTCTACCTTCAGCTCAGTAAGGAAGTTTGCATCACTTTCCAGGGCAACTACTCTTTGAGCCCCACGGTTCAGCAGAGCGCGTGTCAACACCCCAGGACCTGCGGACAGACACAAAACCCAAATTAATATTTTTTACAAATACTGACAGCATTAAATTATTAGTTGAGGAACACACACCTGGGTTACACTCAAATATAACAGCTTTCCTATCATCAATGTCTCCAGCGAGGTGGTCGGTCACGATTCGTGCGAGGGAAGGGTCTACGATGAACCGTCTCAGGTGTTTACAGGCCAGCGCTTTCTGTGTGTTCTCATCCACATCGCCCAAATCTAAAGGATCGTACCGGCAGAGGGGGCGAAACTGACCCTGCAGGGGCACGGCGACAGCAGAGAGGTTCCTCTGAACGCCTCCTGAGGATGGAGAAATTCGCTCTGGTTTGCCCACCTGAGCCGGGGTCTTCCTTGACCCGGAGGGGAATGGGTCTAGAGAGTAAGTTCTCACAGAGGTGGACAAAGTCCTGTGTTTAGTTAAAGGCAGAGCGCAGGGTGATGCAGATCTTGATGTTCCACATAGAGTTCTTAAAGTCAGGACAAAGAACCTACATCCTCCACACGCGGCCATGATGACCAACAAGCTTGAAGCCTGAAATCATATAATATGCAATTAAAATAGTAAATCCAAACCTCACCAATGTATTTTTTACTGTAATATTGTTGCATTATATATATATTGAAAAAAATGTACGCGGCTTGAAAGAGTAACCCTATGTGTTTTATATAACATGCATTATATAATATTAATATATTATTTATAATATGCATTATAGGCAAATTCATAACATACAGAACTACACAGGCTTCCAAACCCTTTTGACATATGGATTTCCATTAAAAATTCCAATAAAATAATTTGATATAGATTGTAATCACAACGAGCCATTTGTAACAGATTTAAATAACTAGATAAGCATCAATACATGATTAATGCACAATGCATCAATAAATGCACATTTGGACCTTGGCTTAAATTCATCACATTACGTAGACTACTATAATCCTGTCCCATGCTGTGGCAGCAAAACGTAACGTTACTCGTTAACTATCAGTCTCTCCTGATAAAATAAACACATGCAGATTGTTGGCAACACATTTATAGATAATTTGAACCCAAACTAACCTCAAATAATACAGTTCTTGTCCACGGGATCTACATTAATGAAAGCTGCGCAGCACGCGCGTCTGTGACATTGATGCCCGCATGTTGTTGACCCGATTGTTCCGCAATCCTATTGGTGCGGCGCACAACGTACGTCATGTTGCCGCGACTCGCCAAAATACTATGCTGATCAAGAATGCGTCAGTTTTGCGCATTCTTGGATGTCTTGCTATTATTATTCTATTATTTGTTTTTCTGTTATTCTAATATTATTATGTGCAGCAAGCATTCGTCTCAATATAAACTATTTATACATATATAAATAATTATGAAAAGATCTGATATGTGGTGAAATGTGCTGTAGTGAGCTTCGGCTTTTTAATAACCTGCGCAGTGCCGTGTTAAGTTGACAGTCATGAATACAAACAGGGCATTCATAATGTGTATGAACTGTATGTCGGCACATGGACGCTGAATTCGAGTGATGATATTGTTGTGATATGATGGCTGTGAATATGGAGAGGTTTGTCAGTGAGGCTAAAGGAAATGGTTTGCGTGCTCTGCGTGAAATCAAAGCCGGTGAGGTGATTCATTCATGCGAGCCGTATGCATTCTGCATAGCCAAAGATTTCTTGAAAACTGCCTGCCAAAGTTGTCTCAAGAGGTAAGAAACCATATGTCGTGCTTAAATATATTACAGGAAAGTACCATGGTACTGCTATGTATATTTTTGGATATATAGCCTGCAATGTTTGTTTTGGACAATATATCATGCTAATACATGTTTTTGAACATGTGCAGTGGTGCCTCTGATTTTATTTAGGAAGATAGTGACATGGTACCATTCAGTGCATTTCTACCGAGGGGAACCCCCCAGCAACGTCGCTTAGCCCCTGCCCCTCCGGAGGTCTGTGCACGCCACTGGTACCATGTGTGTAAATGACAGTATATGCACTGCAGTACCATGGTATTTGTGGCTGTACTACTTTGTAAAGGTAAAAAGCAAAAATCTCTGCATGCTTCTCTTCTCTTCTGTCGTATTACCTATGTTTTTGTGATATGAAATGAGTTTGTATGATGACTGGATTCAGAGCAATCATAAACTGATGCAGGAAAAAATGCACGAGTTATGCATGACACTTCTGAGTGTGGTCTCTAGGGGGCGCTGTTGCTCTTTATCTGATGTTGCTGCACTTCGAGTTCTTTTACACGACCTGTTGTCCGACATTAGACTGCTGTTTACATTGGCTACCTAAAATAAAATAATCTATAGTATAAAGACTGTACACATCTTTTGGATAAGAAAAAAATACCCTTAAACTGCTTTTAAATGGCTGAACTTTACTTTTAGTGAAGGCAGTTTTAGCACATCTCGACCCTCCATGCTAATTGACACGATGGATTCATCCGTTTTAGCATGTTTTTTTTTTATTAATAAAAAATTTAATTAATTAAGTGACACTATAGTTTTGTGCATTTTTATGTATAATAACTCTACACAGTTTGTAGTTTTTGTTTTGAGAAGCTTGTGTAAAGTTTACAGAGACTGTTCAGAACAGCATACTATTCATCTGCCATGTGTAATATATAGAGAGAAAGAGAGAGAATATAGATATGTTGCTTAATTTGACCTTCCATTCCAGTTTGATTATGCAGAATTCATATTAGCAGTGGTAAGATGTAGGCCTAATTCCTCTATGATCAAAATTGTAACTAAATTAAAAACGGCCTTACATAAGATTTGATATAAAACACATGTATACTGTAGATATTCTTAACTCATGGTATTTTAATTATATGTATATAAAACTAAAAAAAATCACATTTCTTTTTATGATAGCCTTAACTCATGGTAGTCTAAATATAGATAATTATTTAAAGACATGTAAAATATACATTGCATTCAGCAAAACCTACAAAATGATTAATCATGATTAATCTCATTCAAAATAAAAGTTTGTTTACATACTATATGTTTGTACTGTGTAATATTATGTATTTATAAATACACATGTATATATTAAGGAAAAATATGTTAGATGTATATGTAACATTTATATTTATACATAATATAAATTAATTACACGTATAAATATATACACATATATATATATATATATTTTTTTTAATATATATATACATACAGTATATGTGTGTGTATTTATATACACATAATAAATATACACAGTACACACACATATAGTATGTAAACATAAACTTTTATTTTGAATGTGATTAATCACGATTAATCGTTTTGCAGCCCTAAAGCATACACATGCATATACTGTTTATATACTCAAGTCATGGTAGTTTAAATATATTTATGGAAAAATTACATATTTTATATATATATATATATATATTTTTTTTTATCATAGTCTTAACTTATGGCTGTCTAAATATATAGCTTGCTACCGTTTGGAATTTTTGTTATTGCATAGTGCACTGCGGACTATATGACATACTATTTTTTTAGATGATTGCACTGCATCTGTATTGTAACATGGCCTAGCCCTAGGGAGTACATATACATTCAGTGAAGTTCACAGAAACAAATTACCTCAGAGTCAGAACTAATTCACCAGTTTACTCAAGTTGCACCAACACTGACAGAGCAGTTAAGCATTAATCTGCTCCAGATTTCTATTCAAATATAGGCCAAATTCAAATATAAGCCTCACTTTTCTATGTTGCGCATCAGAAAACCAAGGTTTGTTGTTGAGAGCATCTGTTGAGAGAGTTTATCAACTTCCGAAGTATCACTGTCATAAGTCATTTTGTTAAAGGTTTCTTCTCGTGATCTGGCGGTCTGGCTTGTTTGTTGTCATCATTGCTATTCATTTCAGACACGTACTGTATTTTCATTTTCAGAGTGTAATTTTTCCTCTCGCCGAGCGGAAAGCGTGTGTAGGATGATGCTGTAATGAGATTGACGTTACTAGCAGATGTGCTGTGATTTAATTCACACCAGCTTTTCATGCCCTCTCTGTAGCCTGATCATTCCTGACGCTTGATTAGAGTCTACAAAACTCTCAGAGCTCACAAATACTCCTGCACGGTGTGTGTCGAGAAAATCATACAGTAGACCTCAGCAGCCAGAGACAGTGCATAAATGTTGAGATTGTTTCTGTATTCCAGTGAACTGAGTGAAAATTGGCATCTGTGGTTCCGTGAAGAACCTTACCATTGCAGAAAAGGTTCTTTATTGTGGAAAAAAGGTTCTTTAGATGATTAAAATGTTCTTCACATTAAGAAAAAAAATTTGTCTTTTAAAAACCGTTTACTAGAAGGTTCTTTCTGGAACCCAAAATGGTTCTGCATAAATGTAAATGTTATAATATATGGCTACTAATAGGGTATTCTGGTGTTTACTAGGCTATTTTTATTCTCTTAAGTCAAAAGAGTCCACCCTCAAGACTCTGTTTGATGATCTCTAGATATTGATCAGGTCCCTCTTTGGATGTAAGTCCATTGTATTTTTCTACGTGTGTTGTAATCCGCTGTCTGAAAGCTGTGAATCCAATCCCTTAGAAAAGTAAAATTTTTAGTGATGTTTAAAGGAAAAGTTCACCCAAATTCGCTCACTCTCAGGCCATCTAAGATGTAGATGAGTTTGTTTCTTCATCAGAACAGATTTGAAGAGATGTAGCATTACATCACTTGCTCACCAATGGATCCTCTGCAGTGAATGGGTGCCGTCAGAATGAGAGTCCAAACGGCTGATAAAAACATCACAATAATCCAGAAGTAATTCACATGACTCCAGCCCATCAAATGACATCTTGTGAAGTGAAACGCTGCTTGATTGTAAGAAACAAATTCATCATTAAGGCATTTTAACATCAAACCATCACTTCTGGCCAAATTACCAGTCCATATTCTAGAAAAACAGTGCAAAAAGTCCATTGCCTGTTGTTCTTTCACATCAAAATCTACCAACATATTTGTTAAGAACAGTTTCGGAATGTTTTCGCCTATAAACAGTGCTTGATCTGTGCATATTTCTCTCCTGATTTAGATGAGACTAAGCAATATTATGGATAAAAGACTCATATTTTAGCTAGAATCAACCGTTTGAAGTTAAAAACTTCTTAATTATGGATTTGTTTCTTGCAAACACACAGCTTTTCACTTCACAAGATGTTAATTGATGAACTGGAGTCATGCTGTGGATTATTGTGATGTTTTTATCAGCTGTTTGGACTCTCATTCTGATGGCACCCATTCACTGCAGAGGATCCATTGATTGGTGAGCAACTGATGTAATGCTACATTTCCCCAAATCTGTTCAGGTGAAGAAACAAACTCATCTTCATCTTGGATGGCCTGAAGATAAATTTTCAGCAAATGTTCATTTTTGGCTGAACTATTCCTTTGACGGTATCTGTGTTTTCCACACTATTATAAGACTGTTTTTTTGGAATTGGTGTAGATTTTTCTGTTGCGCACATATATAAGCACATTATAGATATGTGTTCACAGATGTGTCAAACATTGAAATCACTGTCTAAAAGTTGCCTGTCTGTGGTAGTTAGAGGCGTCATTAGTTTCAGACTGTGTGCTTTGACTCCAAGGTGTCTGTCACAGAACATCAAATATTTCTCACAGGTAATTTAAGTAGGCCTACTTTATTTCTTAAAATATTTTTAAACGAGGTTACACTAATTCTCCCGTGCACTTGTTTTTAGTGTCATGTTCTGGAGTTGAGTAAACACACGCACCCTAAGGTATCCATTCTCGCCCTTTTTCTGGTTCTCTCCCTCCTCCTGCTCTCTTTTATTCATCCGTTCCCTGTCTAGGTATTAGTTGCCATCTGCTTTTTGCCGTTTGGCTGGTCGGGGCGGCTGTTCATCATATTTCAGGTATGTCATTTTCCTGAGTCCCGCTCAATGCTTTTCTGAGCGTGACCTTGTGGATTGGATCTTTCCACTTGAGAGGGAGGGAAAAAAGCAGACAAACAGGCTCGGAAGACAGTCATTTCTGGCCGGGGATTAGTGCTTCAGTCCTGCTGATAACCTGGCTCGTCTATAGAGAGCCGTCTGCATGGAGAACACTGGGGATGAAAAGAAACGCCATGGAAACAGAACGTTAATAATCCGCTCAGAAGAGCTCTGTATTGTAATGGTCCCTGACTGCTGCTCTGAATAAACCCAAAGATGCTTGTGCTGTCGCAGAGCTCAAAGAACTGATTTTACAATGTGTTCAGAAATGAGCACTTTAACTCTTTACAGATGATGGTATCAGATGTTACTACTACGATATTCAAAAATATACCATGAAAATAAGTTAGTAACAAGATTAACTATTTTTTTTAAACAATTATAAAAATGCAATATTCAAAATAATATTATGTAAAATAAATGATTTCTTCATTTTACCATATTTATCATCTTCATATAATTCCAATAAACATATTTATATATATTATTATATATTTATGTCTATATATATATATATATAAAAAAAAGTAAAATACTCAAAATATTACCATTAAATATTCAAAACGTATGTACATTAAATAATATTATATATGAATGTATTTTACATATTTTTAAATATAATTTTCAAAATTACTATAAAAAATAATGTCAATTAAATTGTATTAAATTGAATTGTATTTTTTACTTACATTTATGTATGTAGAGAATTTTGAATATATTC